ACTGATGATTATTTATAGCGCTTATAAGCCACGGCCATGGCGCCCGACTGCACTGGGCTACGCAGCGTGAACATGCAGACTAATGTTAAAATTCCTGCTACAAAAACCCTCTTTAGGGATGCTGTCAGTCAGGAGTTGAGGAACGTAGCTCAAGAACATAATATAGTAGATGAAATATTGAAGAAAACTTCTGTTTTCAGCACATATCTTCACTTCCAACTTAGCTAGGGAAGATTGCCTTGACAGAGCTGATTTTATTTTCTACTCAAAAAACATGATTATCCCACACATACCTTTTTATTGGCAATTTTATTAGGATACTTCCAAAACTAGTAAGTTTTTTGCTTCAGAATGAAAACAGGAGAATTATTTACTCTGTAGGCTTCCTGACACTTGCTGCATGTAATTCTGAAACCCGGGATACTCATCTGGAGGTTCAAGTGTTTAAGGGACAGGGGGCAATGGTGAGAAGTGCCTGCCCGGCGCAGCAGGCGCGTCCCCTCCCGACTCCCCCACCCTGCCAGGTGCCCTGGCTCACAGCTATGAGGCTTGGCGAGTGGAACTGAGCAATGAAGAGGACGACGGTTCACCCAGCTTGGAGCTATGGCCGAGGTTAAGTCGGCCTGCGCCCTGCGACAAAACTGCTTCCATGAATAAAACCAGATGGGTCACCGTCAGAGGAGACTCCCTTCTGAAGGGAACAGAAGGCCCAATATGCAGACTGGACTTCCCACTTCTTAGGGAAGTTTGCTGCCTCCCTGGGGCCCGCATTAAAGATGGGAAGAGAGAGCTTCCTACCCTGGTCCGGCCCTCAGAGTACTGTCCATTCCTGATTTTTCAGGTAGGCAGTGATGAAGTCTCAACAGGAAGTCCGAGGGCAGTCAAGAAACACTTCAGGGCCTTGGGACAACTGCTTAAGGGATCAGGAGCACAAGTAGTGTTCTCCTCCATCCTTCCAGTTGCAGGGAATGATGAGGGAAGAAACAGGAAGAGCCAGCAGATCAATACCTGGCTCTGAGCCTGATGTCACCAGCAGAATTTTGGGTTTTTTGGTCATGGGTCGGTCCACATGACACCAGGCCTGCTGGCGACAGACGGGGTGCAGCTGCCTCAGAGGGGAAAAGGATCTTTGCACAGGAGTTAGCAGGGCTCATTGAAGGAGCTTTAAACTGGATTTGAAGGGGGAAAGGGATAAGGCCAGGCTTGCTGGAGATAAGCCTGGGGCGGCATGCCAATGTTTGAGGGACTGTGTGCTAGTGAGGGCCTTCGGTCTGCTGACTCAGTGGAGGTAGGGATGGAGACCCATGCAGCAGCAAGACACAAAGGTTACTGATGTGTTAGAAACCACAGAGGCGCCTGAGATTGGTCACATAGGAATTAGGGCTTCTCCCCCCAAAAGGTGGTGAGATCAACAGCCCAACTGAAGTGCATCTACAACAATGCACGCAGCATGGGCAACAAACAGGAGGAGCTGTAGGCCACTGCACAAACTATGCTATAGTTGCCATCGGGGAAGCACAGTGGGATGAGACACACAACTGGAGTGCTGCAAACTTGGTTATAAACCCTTCAGAACCTCGGACTTCTGGAGGGCAGACACGGCCCGTTTAGGAGATGGGTTGACAGAGCCCTGGGAGGCAGTTCTGAAAGGGCAAAGGAGAACAGGAAGGCTGGACATTCTTCAAGAAGGAAGTCTTAACGGGGCAGAAGCAGGGAGCTGCTGGGGAAGAAGATCGGCCTGGCTGGAACTCAGGGAAAAAGCATTTTACTGGGTGGTGGTTACAAGCTGTCTACAGGTTTTAGATTAAGTGACATAAACCTACAACCCCCACACATACTTTCAGATCACCCCAAGAGTTACGTTCCTCTAATGACAGAAGCATGATACATTAATACCATTACAGTGAACTACATTCACACAATTTCTATCATCTCATTATTCCCAAAGCAAGTTACAAGCTGGATGAGTATTCCAGTTTCACTATTCACATGCCATTTAACAATAGGTTAAACAAATTATATAAGGTGATTTCTATTCCTCGACTGGTGACTGTGGATATCCCTACCATCAGCATCCAGGGAAAACAATCTCAGGTATATACAAGGGCAGCAAATCACACTTATTTAAATTAAAGTAAGCATTCACAACTGCTTAGTGTGTTTTTGTTGTTCTATTGCACACATGATTCACATCAGCACTCAAAGAAGAAGACAAGAACATATTATAGAACAATCACACAACTTATGATGACCTAAAATACAGCTTTTCAACCTGGGGAGGTAACTTCAGGTGTTAGAAGACATGACATCGAAAATGGGAAGAATAAAACACAAGAGAGGAACATTCCACTACAGAGTCCTCCAGAAGGCCATGAGACTGGAGCAAAGTGAGACACTCAAGTCCTGGGGTTTAAAACTGCTTTTAGAGGTAACCTGACAATCTGAAAAGGCTATCTTCTCCTCACTTTTTAAAACACCCCCAGTTCCTCTCCCTGCCAAGTTGGATGGCAGCTGGAAAGTTACTAACAGTATTTGATTTAAGGAAGTAAAAATGACCAGACAGATGTTTTTGCCATCTCTAATGTAGGGCTTGAAAATAAAATGGTTGTAAATAGAGTTACATGATCCTTGTGCATTTCATCCTGCCAGCCAGTGCACGTGTTCTAGATCTCTAGTGCCTCCAAGCTCACTGCAAAAGTGGCTCCAAAATTTGCTGGAATCTGAATACAGCTCAATAGACTACAACCATAAATCACTCGACGTTCGTGCTTCATCCTTAAAATTTCAGAGAGCAAAAGGAATCCTCTTGCTGAAGCCTCCCAGAAAACAAAGCAGACTTTCAAAGACTGCAACCTTATGTGATTCACATACAAAAGTTCAAACTAATGGCAACAGTCCACAGGCATTCAGGGAAATAACAGCAATCAATGCTATTTTTAAAGGGAAGAGTGGGGGCGAGGGGTTAACATATGTGGAATTAGCTCTGGGCAAAATGAGAAGCCATTGCATCTAAAATCAAATGCATTTCTGAAATAGACACCAGAGCCCAAATTCCCATGTAGACTCCTGCAGTCCAAGAGTTTCAGCAGAATTTGGCCTTCCTCTTAACTTAGCTTCATTAGGTCATATCATGCCATCAATTTTTATGTTGGACGCCCTACTTACTTCGCATCAGTTGTTGGCACTATGTAGGCAATTTCCCGAATTGGAGGGGGAGAAAAGGGTGGTGTGTGCACAAGGGAGAGGAAATTTTTTTCCCATGTAGCATAAAAGTAATTTCTCACAAGAGTTTGAGGGGGGAAAGTGATATTTGTATCCCTTCTACCAGATGTCACCAGTGACAACAAGAGCCAGTATTAAATATCTATCCTTCAAATTCTTGAAATTTTTCAGCGTCAGCTGGTCAACAACCCATTCAGAAAACTGGGAAAGCTGACATTTTCCTCAGCTACTCTTAACAAACGGCTCCTCCCCTCACAAGAATTATCTGTGTCTGAAACTTCTTCATGGAGGGCAGACATGCAGAATTGGTAAAAAGAAACAAACTTGTAGCAACAATTTTTCGTAAGCGTATATGCAATAAGTGAAACCACACCCCCTCCACACACAGTATCTTTTGCAACAGCCTTTTGTTGCTTTTTCATCAGCTGCTGTCAATGGTGGATGCACTGAGGTCTCAGTGGTACCTCACTTTCTGCTTTTCCTGCCTCACACTAGGATTTATTGTCATTCGCTTCAGTGCTTGGTTAGGTTTGCCTCCGTCTCAAAGGGAAATGCTTCTGGAAAAAAGATGCCTTGAGACTCTTTCTGACATTAAGACAGTCTCTGCACTGTCACTTCTTACTGTGCCACCACCTCAAGCTGTGGTGCCAATGCCATCCCTTGCCATCCCTGACGCTGGCCACAACGCCAGCTTCGGCTGTCATCCCTGTGACTTGCCTTGCGCTGTTCCGCTGCCTCCAGCCCCCGGGAGGTCCAAGCCGACAGGCTCCTCACCCAGTTACGCTACGGTGCTCATGAAAGAGAACTGAGATGCTCAAATTGTTTCTATGCTATTAAAAACAAACAAACAAAAAGATAACTAGCACAAAGGAACTCTTGGAAACAGGAGTGGCCAAAAAAACCCGTTAAAAACCACTTATCTAAAAGCGATCAGAAGGTGTGAAGCAAACCTGCAAGTACTCCTCACACACTGTCCCCTGCAACATGCTGCTATTGAAATCTTTCTCTCTGTTCTGAAAGCACAGGTCTTTCATGGAGAGCTCAGGGGCTTTTGTCTCAGAGACAGCTGGGTGTATCACAACCCTTTGCTTCATACATACGCGACGAAACAGGATGTCAGAACCTTGCAGAATCTAAGATTTTCTCTGGAAACATACCAGACAAAATACCCTCCCCCAAGCAACTGTTCCCATGGATTGACATATTATTTTACCTCCTGTAGCAACAAATTCACTGAGGGTTTTTTCAAAACAACAGACCAGACATTCTGGGACTACAACATAACTATTATTTTCCCTAAATGGTTTGCTACACAGACAATATTCGAACAGGGTATTTATACATTTCTTTTTGTTTAGTGCTCCATGGCGAAACTCTATCACATGCAGTGTCTACAGATAACAAGTTATTATATTTAAACATTCACTAGAGGCACCTCCTCAGAGGTTAGCAGACTCCTCTGATCAAGCATGTTAGATGGAGGTGGTTTTTTCCTGCCCTACACCATACGGAGAAGTTGGTATTTTCTGCTTAAATCAGAAGAAATTTAATAGGAGTCTGTCCTTTTCGCCTATCCGGCCACTTATCTTGTTTCGTTTGCAAATATCATATGTATTCTCTTGAGATAAAAATAGTGCAAGATGATTAGTTAGGCAAGTTCATTTGACACCATTCCCCCTTCGTGACGCTGAAATCTAAAATCTGTATATGGTATACAACTTAAAGTATATATATGCAAGCTCAGCTCTGCCGGAGACTCACAGCAAGTACGTTCCTCCCAACAGACGGCTTCCTTATCCAGCCAAGAAGACCACAAAGGTAAGCTGATTAGATCCTCTGCTTTCAGAAAAGGAAACACAAAGGCAGAATGCTCCCTAAATGGAAAGCTCCTATGCAATTAAAATGTCTATTCTTCTATCAGCTTCCAGCATGTCATATCTTTACAGGCTAACACAGAATAGAATCAGCATTCAGATCACGGGATGGAAAAAGACAGGAATGATGCCCCTTATAAAAAATGCTGCAGTTTTGAGGTTTTCCTTCCACTCTTCCCCATTTTTAATGCTGTTAGCAGTGAGAATTAGGGGAATGGCAGGGCTCCAAATTCTCTTGCCTAGTGCTGAGAGGGGGACGTACTTTGCACAAGAAGCCACTAGGACAAAATAGTTGCTAGCAAAACGGAGTATCTCATCTGCCTTAGCTGGGTAAGTACGGATTGCCAGCAGCACGCATTTGTACACCCTCTGAGCTGCTCAGAAAGGGACCGCAGCGATGGACAATCTCCTCTGCTGCAAACCAACAGGTACGGAAGCAGGCATGTCATATTTTAGGCAAAGTTTAGGCACACAGACTATTAATGGTTACTAGCATTGTTTTCCTTCTCATGATTGCTGCTTTCCATGCCTAAGACAGGAAGAGCGATGTTGTTGAAGATCAGTTAGGGATTCATGAAAAGATATTTCTGTCTCTTGCGGCGTTCAAGCGTAACCTTTCTATGCCTCAGCTCCCCTTCCTTCATTAACATGAAGTAATGTGGTAACTTGTAACCAGTCTGCAGGGGTGTGTGCAGGCTACTGAGCTGTACATGCATCCATGCTATGCTCACACTGAAAAACTGACTAGAATTTCAGGCCTTGTAGCATTTTCTTCAGTGATATATACTGCGTTGGCAAACTCTTGCAGCTGTTGGTGGCTGAATGGAACAAAGAGTTTGTCAAATGCTGCTGTATCAGAAGAAAACGCCTCCTCCACTCTACTAGGAGTGAATATGAAGTCTCAATAGCGCTGTTCTAAGCACATCAATATACTGAAATGCCAAAATCTGGATAAAAATCTGGTTTGTTATCAATTACATGGAATAAAAAAAAAAAATCCTAGAGCATACTTGAGAAAACTTTTTTATAAAGCTATCATAAAACGTAGTCTTTTAATGATGCAGCAGCCCAGCAAGACAAATTTATAGTGCAGTTACATGTATTGATGCAACTAAACAGAGGAGGAACTTAGTCTCCAAATTTAGATTTCCTTGAAATGAACAAAATATATTACTGATTCTACACTATTTTCATTCTTAGGAAAGATAACCACATTTACTGATAACACTAGATTATTTTAAAATTCCAATTACATTTATTCCAGATATAGTTCTAGGGGACATACTGAGCCTCATCGTTTATGTACGCAGTAAATATGTGCTGATTCTAACTGAGTAATCGTCCACCTCCAGGAAAACCCACACAGAAGTCATGAAGTTTAGTGGTGCTGGACGCCTTTGATTCGCTCTCCCAGTGCAGTAGGGGCATCAGATCTTCCTGAAGCCCCACGCTCGCACGCAGAATTCCTCCCTCCTTACCCAGCTTTAGTGCAAGCACCTGCTGCAGACATCTGTTACAGCACACTCCGCTTGCAATTAGATGAATAATGTCTCCCCTATCATATACTGTCTCAGCAGCAACTTCAAATAGAGCCATGAAAGGGGTAGAGAAGTCACTTTAATGACTAAGGAGCTCACATTTGATTTATTTTACAGTTCAACAATGGCCATCACTGACATCCTCTCTGCTAAAGATATTGAATCTGCTCTCTCCAGCTGCCAGGGTAAGGAATGGTCTCTCTGCAGCCAGAAGCTGCATATCATTTTTATGTCTTAAGATGACATGCCTATCATTTTCCCCTTAGATTCCTTCCCCGTGAGATCTCTTTCTAGCTACATTACAGTACAGCCCCTTGAATTCACAAAGTCTCACAAATGGTTATTTGGTGGGTAACATGCCCCAAAACACAGAGCAGCAATGAAAGAGCCGCAGTTTCAGCTAAGGCTGGCTTAACTCTAAATTTTGTCAATATTTGAACCTGTTAAAGACTTATATTTAAATAGCCTTTTCCTTCAAAATGTCAAAAAACCCCTCAGCTTGCAGAATCAGAGTCTCATTGTGAAGCAACAACCCATCTCAGTTCTCTTAAGAGTGCTTCAGCAAGACCAAGCCACTTTTCCAAATGCTCAAAGAGCTCGTTTGACTGTGCATTACTTACTTTTCTACCAAATTCTTCGCCAAAGTAAGGACTAAGTGAAAATGAAGTAAGAATTACAGGAGTTGGTCTGTAAACCACAGTAGCACCCTCTAAATATTTATTATTAATTGCATGTGACATGCTGCATAAATCCTGAGTTAGCAAAATGTGCATTGTAGCAGAAAACTCCAAACTGGCTGAAAGGTTACATGACCACAGGCACAGTGATTAAAAGGGAAATTGTCCGTTTTATCTTCTTTTTTGCTACACTGGGGAACAAGAGGAAGAGGAGCAGGCTGATGCTTAAGAAAAGGCATACGTATTCCCAAGGAATGAATACAGTAGTAGCAACTCCAAGGCAAAATATTTAAACAGCTTCTGTTTCTTCCAGCTGATGATTCCTTCAACTACAAGTCCTTCTTCTCCACGGTTGGATTATCCAGCAAAACTCCTGATCAGATAAAGAAAGTTTTTGGAATCCTTGATCAGGACAAGAGTGGTTTCATCGAAGAAGATGAGCTTCAGTAAGTACTGTTCAGCTGCTGTATTCCTTTAAACAGTGTAAAGCTTCAAACCGGCTTGGTGTCCTAGAAGAAACCTGCTGTTAGTTTAAAAATAAACCACAATTCCTTGTCTTTCCTTGAATCTGTGTGGATTTCCTCAGATAATAAGAGCAGGCATTACCTTATGGGTTTCTGGCATGGGCTTAAGAAAACCAGACATGGCAATATGCCAAGGGCATTTTGGAGGCTGAAACTCCAGCACAGTCCTCTGCCCGGTTCTGTTGCAGGCTGTTTCTGAAGAACTTCTCGTCGAGTGCCAGAGTCCTGACCTCCGCGGAGACCAAGGCTTTTCTGGCTGCAGGTGACACTGATGGTGATGGCAAAATTGGAGTGGAAGGTGAGACTTTCAGAAACTTCATAAAACTTGTGTTTTAAAAGGCATTTAAACTGTCACATGAAGAATACATCCAATTACTTGGGCCTGCTACGTTCTGCCAGTTTTTATACTAGTGAATACTCCTTTATTCTCAGAGCTTTATTCCCACTCAGTCTCTGTTGCAGCAAGAGCATATTTAGGCCCAATGCAGAGCCTGTTCTTCCAGTGAATAACAGCAGCTTTGGGGTTAACTCTGCCGTACGTTTGATCCATAGACTCTATGTGCCAGATTTTTAAAACATCCTGAACACCTATTCTTCTCTGAATTTCCATTTTGGCAGGGGATGCTCTGCACTTCTGGCCATATGAGACTCTCATTTTTAAAAACACTTCCACCTACATAAACTTATTTCTTCATCTACCACTGTCAAACATCGGCCAATATTACTGAGTCGTTAATTCAGTAATGTAAAATAAGACCGGTATTGTTTTTCAAGGCTAGAAGTGCTGAAATACAGCACAGAATTTTGTGCTGGAGAATTACCTGATAAGTGCAAATTTCACTGGGCAGTCCTTCTACGAGAAACTAAACCAAATTCCTAAAGAAAACCTCACATGGATGATGTGAACTGGCCAGGATATTTATTTTAGAAATTGCAGCAAAGAAATGTAGAACATTATGCATCATATATTAGAGATGAAGTCACTGAAAACAGGGCTGTCTCAGCTGAACTAGGACAGGTGGCAATAACTCTAACAGACACACGTGCTAATCTTAGCCAGAGTTTGGGAGGAGAGAGATACACACTGTTGGAGGAATTTGCTTTAGCAGCAGCTTTTGCAGCTTCTGTTTATGAGCCCCAGATAGGGCATTATGTTATGCAGTTCTCAGCCCTTAACCATTGAACCTCCCATTCTGAAATTACATCACTACTGATATTATGTCTTTGGAATAACAAAACAAAAAAATCCCTCATATTGAAAGCTACAGGCTCGACCTAATTCACTCTCCGCTCCCTTGGTTATTATCAGAGTTTGTAATGGGTTAAAGACAGTTTACTTTTAACTCAGGACTTCCCACAAATACGAGTTTATAGGCACACTCCTCCTCTCTGCACTTACTCTTTTTAAGGAGTGAAAAATCTGTTACGCCCCCAGAATCTCAGTTTAGCAGTAGCTTGTGCAGTGTTATAATAACTTTGGGAGCCCTCCATGGCTAGGAGTTTAAGTAATTTTTATCTATCTTTTTCTGAAGATGTTAAAACCCACTTTCATTTAATTTCTCATTTTCTTCCTTGACAGAATTTCAGTCTCTGGTGAAGGCATAAACAGCATTAGACCAAAGGCAACCTTGGACTGACTCTTCCAATTACCTCGTCCAACAAGCACTTCGCACTCAGCATGTGTTTGTACATTTTTATATTGTTTCAGGCGTTAACAATTCCCCATACATCAAGTTCACACACTGGATTGCTGTGAAATCTTGCAGTGTACAGATGTTTTGGTCACGTGGTATTGTTACATTTCCATTGTAAAGAAGGCACTTTGTGATTTTCAACCACTCATAATGTTGCAATTGTGGCTGGAGGAGGGGAGAAAAAATATTAAAAAAGCCCAAACAAATAACAACCACCTGGGGGGAAAAAGCTGCTTTTTAAATTTTGTTTAGGTTTTCCATCCTCATACTTGACCATGCTGACTCACCAGACACAGTTTTGATGATCTTAAAGAATAAGACATCTTTTAAGGCTTAATTGTACTGATTTCATTGAGTTTTGTTTCTGCTTAATCCTGACCCTAGAGGAAAAACAATGCTAACAAGATAACTAGAAGTAATTTATATTAAGTCCCAATCCTGAGAGTATGAGAAAAAAAAAATTAAGAGGAGTTGACACATAGCTCAAAGCATGGAATAAGTTTGTGGGTAATTTTACAAAATTAAGTACTAGACTACAGCATGTATCATCATAAAGTGTTTATGGCCTAAAATGTAACTCTCCCTTAAGAAGATTTATCGTTCATGAAACCTAAGGCAGCTGTGAGATAGAGGAGAAGGGTCTAATCCCAACTCTGACACTGTCATAAGTCACAGTCTCCTGACAATATGGGCCACAGGCCTGGAGGTTTCTCTGTGAATCATGAACATGTTGCTTGTTAACTCTTAATATGTACAAATCAGTAATACTTTGCCACATTTATGAATTTCAGTGTTACCTACAGATGAAACAACAGCCAGTCTTGCTGTCTGATTACCTAAAAGCTCTGTTACGTTGCTAAATAATGGCCATTATTCCATTCTTTCATTTATTATAGAGGATAATCATCTATATAATCCATAGTATTAGCAATTTCATTAAGTCTGAAAATTGCCAGGAACTAGTCTTTCCTTTGACAGGGGTCTTACAGGATTTAGAGCTAGTTACAGCACTGTCTACAGTAATGGACAAAGTAAATAATGGTCATGGCTAAATGCAGAGCTCAGTGCACTGAATAGACGTTGTGCGTTTCTGACTGAGCGGGTTGGACGTTTCCCCACCAACACTTAGTTGTCCCCTTTCCCATCTACCATTACATGGTTCCAGCTCACAGACCGACTGTCATTTCAGTACTCCCTGCTGAAACTGGATGATAATTATAACATAATTTGGCAGCTGTTTCGAAGAAGAGCAGAAACAAAGCCTTCTGGAACTTTTATGTAACATTCAGTGTTGGCATTTCCATGAATTGTGAGATGATTACATGAGGCAAGTACAGCTCACTCGTACCCAGGGATGTAAGAGGCAGGTTTAAGACGGCTAACGCAAAAGAGGAATTCTAGCAATCAGACTCACTGAAGCCTTGGCAGAATTATAACGAATATAAATCCTAATTCTATCCCCACTGCCTTTGATGTTAAATCTGGGTTTAAATTATAGTTGCTGTTAACTGCAGCACTGAAATATTCTGCATAATGATGAGACACTGTTGGTTCCATCTACCTTATTCATTTTCCTATCTGCTGAAGAAAAAGATCCAGAGCTATCCAGATCTGCAGCAATATGCAGCTGTAATAAATACATTAGCTCTTCACACTGCTAGTCACTGAAATATCATGACACTGGCTCACAAGCAGATGGCACACACAATACCATAAGTGACAGACCTGACACTGCATTCCTTGCACATCTGACAGTCTCATGTGGCATGCAAGAAATGCAACACCGTGGCCTACGCTGTATCTCAGGGCTGCTGAACAACTGCACATCGCTGCCTTCTGTCGCCGTGAGGGGGAACTAAGCACTGCTGAGAACCAGCAATTCCTGTGTATGTTGTAACTTTACATAAAACTTAGAGAATTTTGTTTATGAGAAAATCTGCTCTTCTTAAACAGTAACTTGTGACAAGATGAGTTTTAAATCTTATTAAAACCATCCAGACATTTCATTAGAAATAGAAATCAAAAAAGTCCCCAATTTCAAAAAAGCCCGTAGATCGTTCAGCAGAAACAACACCTAGTCCCTATTCAGCCTTCTGTCGGCACTAGGATCCAGGTTTAGAGCTCACCAAACCAGAAGAGAGTATTTCCTGCCTAAAGGAAACAAATTCCAAAAATGTAATGTTTTCTTGGAGGCTTCATTTCAAAGGATTTAAGTTCAGCCAGTGGCAGCCTTCAGTTTTCTTAGGGAATAGCATGGAGTGCTCTCCGAACTCGACAGTGTCACTGCACTACAGAAAACCTCTGCAGGACGTCTGTGTGGATGCCATCTGAAGTAATAAAGGGATGAATGGTGATATCACAGTATTACCAGAACTGAGGTATAGGATCAGAGTAATTCATGCTGGAAAGGATCTCTGGAGGTGTCCGGTCCCAATGCTTCCGCAAAAGGCAAACTTAGGGCACATTGCTCTAAGCTGAGTTTGAGTATCTTCAGGGCTGGAGGCTCTATAACCCCTCTGGGCAATCTAATAAGTAAAGATTAAATACTCTGCATCAAGATTTTATGAATGAACTGCACAAATAAAACACTGCTGAGTACCCAATTAACCAGAATGCTGTTAGAAATTGTTCATGCTACATCCAATCAGAAAGGATCTAAGAACACCCTGTATTATGATAACCTGTTCTCAGGTTTAGAGTAAGACCGTCCTACTCAGTACAATACTGCTTCATAATTCTCAGGATAAAGGAAGTGTTGTTTATACATTTTACCTTTATTTAAGACAAATAAAGAGCAACCCAAAATGTGAGTGGCAGATCTGAGTTCCACTGAGCCCGAAGACCAAGTTCTGAGACACACCTCAGGCCCCTCATTACCCTGTACAAGCAGTTATAACTTCTGCTTATACATTACGTGGCAGAAGCCGTCTAACCCTCCCAATTAACCCTTCACAATTTCTTGTGGAATGAAGACGTACTATAATCTCTTTACGTGCGAGCTAAACATGAAGAAATTGATTGTGCTACACAAGCTCTTAGAAAAAGGATATAGAAGGCCAGGGTGTTGGACCCAATATCCCAAACCCAGCCCAGTGCTCTATCCACTGAATCCATCTCTTTTAAAAGGAAATTTTGGGTTGTCCTGACAAAGAAGCAGAATCATGCATAAGATGAAACCCCCTGGTGTTTAGTGGAAGCTGGGTGTCTCCTAACTTCATGTTCCTCTAGAGCCATTTGTAAACTTCAGATTCAGTTTCAGCTCTCCAATGTTTGAAATCTCTCAGGCCTCTTCTAACAAGTAAGAGAGCACAGAAAGGGCAAGGGATGTCAGAACATTCATTGCACACACAGGCTGGTAAAGTTTCTTCCCTGAGTTAGCAGCCAGCCCATGTGGAAAATCTTTGATGCAGCATTATCAGAGGCGCCTGGAGATCTTCACACAAACAGTGTGGGCAGAGGGGGCCAAGGCTGGATTCATTTCCTGGAACGGGTACTGAAATAGATACGTCTTGATTAAATCCCTGAACAGACGTACCTAACGTTTTCATGCGTTTCATAACGTTCCTGTATTTTAGAACACTAGTAAGTGGAATCTGAACTAATATAAAGAGTTCACATTTTATTAACCTTGGTTTCCGTATTCCTTTTGCAAGCACAGGAAGATAGCGCCACATTGGTCTGGGCCTGCCAGTATGCTTTCTGTACCGAAGGCCTACCCAGCAAACGATCTGTCAGCTGGGATGTGGCTGTTTCATAACTTCTGATTTGCTTATCAGCATGTCCTACACTCATGAAAACAAGAAAATCAGAGTTTTTCCTCTATCAAGCTCCGGAAAAGAAAATCATCAGCACATCGGTTACAGTATGAAAAGAATGTCCCCCCAGACAATGCCCTCCCCTGCAGTTACAAAGATATTATTGACCCTAAATTCAAAGGGGAACTTATGTCAAAGTAGAATATGCAGATACTTGACTGAAAGAGAATCACATCAGTCCCATCACAACCAGGTATTAATCGGCCGGGATTCCCTACAAGCTAACTTTCCGCTCTCACTTCCAGGATTCCAAAACAAACTGATCTGACACTTGCGGTGAGTTCCCTGACGGACTGTAATATTTAGGTAGCGTAAACACAAGCACAGTAAAACCTGGGTTTGTTAAACAGGTGAAATAACTTGTTCCTCCTAATCACCATTAAAGGAAAGTCCTCTAGGATCATTTCTGAGTTTTCAATTCAGTCTGTTTATATTCCAGTCCTTGGAGTGATCTGGTAAACTAGACTTTACTTTTAAATATCTGTTCCTTCCTCTTCTCTTCCCGGCTCACTGCCGCCCACCTGTAACCTGCTCCCATTCCCAGGCCCTTGCTTCTCCCACCGAAGCAGTCCCGAGGAGCTTTCACTCTGGACCGGACTGTCTCTGGTGCCATCTACAGACAGGCTCTGGTTGGCCACAGAAATACTCAAAAACGTGGATCGATACTGCTTTGTAATCTCAATATGGTCTTCTCACAGGCATTATTTCTTGAAAGTTCAGCAATTCTGACACAATTATCAGATCCTCTCTGATCCCTGGCCATACTCTCAATTATTTCCTAGGAATCTGAAACAAAGGCAAAGCAGATCCCCAGATGGAAACGCTCTACCATTTAGTTTATATACCCAGCAGTTCAGGGTTAAATGGCTTCAAAAGTTTGATCTTATATAGTCCAGAAATCTTTGCTTTCACAATGTTCAATTTAGCATACAGCATGGGTTTAGATAACCGAGTTAGTGCTTCTCTTGATGAAATGATCAAGGGAAACTAAGATGTGCAAGATGAGCTTTTGTCTGTATTTTCCTTTCCTTTGAAAGAAAAGATAGCAGTTTAATGCTATATTGACCAAGTGTTAGGATTTATTTTAAATGCAATGGCATTACTCAAATACTATTGAAATCTACGATACTCCAGGCACGTTTATGTATGTGTGGGTGTGAAATGTTCTCCCAATGGCTTTTCACACCGTTGGCCAATTTCAGCCATTCCCGAGGCCACGAAGTTCCAACAGGTTTCATGAGATAGCTGAGTGGAGGATCCTATTAATAACCACTAAGAGAAAAGCTGCAGCTGGAGCTTTGCCACTGTCTGAATCCTCAGAGAAGTTCATTTTTTTGGTACAGAAAGAAAGAACCAAATAGCTCAGATTT